CGATGGTCTGGGCGTCCCTCCGCTCAGGCTCCCACTGCTTCCTGGCGCGCTGGCCTCCCAGAGCACCCGCTGCCCTTTGGGATCCTGTGTCTTTGCCGCGATGTGCACGGTCCCGGCCGGCTCCTCAGTGTCGCCTCCCCTCGCCTGCTCTGACGCAGCCCCTGACACTCCTGTTTCACGTGCGGGAGGAGGTGCAGCGAATCCACCCTGAGGTGTGGGTGACGGCCAGGCCAGACCAGGTGTTTCGGTGTTTCCGCTGTGAGAGACGTGCGTTCCTCCCCAGGGCCCGGAAGGAGCCTCCACCTTAGCAGGATGGAGCGAGCCCTGCTCGGGGCCCCGGGCACAGAGTCAGAGGCCCTGTGTGTACATGTGCCACCGCCTTCTTACCACTTGTCTGCTGGCTGGTGCAGTCACGCCACGGAATCCCACGCAGCAGTGAACAAGACAGATCCCTGACCCTGTGAGACACAGGGACGGCCTGGAGACCATCATGCTGAGCGAAATAGCCAGTCAGAGAAAGACGAGTGTCACATGATCTCACTCATCTGTGGAGTCTAATGAACAGAATAAACTGAGGGACAAAGTAGATCCAGAGACATGGACGCCTGGGACAGACTGACCAATCTCAGAGGGAAGGGGGGTGTGGCAGGGGAGAGATTAACCAAAGATCTTATTTGCACATATGCACAACCCATGGCAGACAATAGTGCGGGCAGGCCGGGGGAGGGGGCAGGAGTGGGGAGAAGGGGTAAATGGGGAAGGTAAAGGGGGCATCTGTAATACTTTGAGCAACAAAGATAATAAAAAAAATTCACCTCTTTTCCAAATAAACCCCAAAACTCCTAACCCCACTTCTCGTGAGACGAGTCAGCAGCCCCACCCGGGCCGCCGCTCAGGAGGACGCGCTGTGTCTTCCAGAAAAGCCTGAAGCTGAAGAACGGCCCCAACGACGTGGTGTTCAGCGTCACCACCCAGTACCAGGGCACCTGCCGCTGCGAGGGCACCATCTACCTGTGGAACTGGGACGATAAGGTGATCATCTCCGACATCGACGGCACCATCACCAGGTGGGTCTGGCCGACCGTCACCGTGACCCCTGGGCCTGCACCAGCCCCTCCGTTTTCTGCCTGTGGCATTGGGGGCCCGTCCTGCCCGGTGTCTGTGCAGGGGCTGCTCGGGGGTCCCCGCCGCCTGGGCCCAGCAGCTCCTGTAGGGCTCGCTGGCCATGCCCGCCGGGGGGTGGCGCCTCACCTGTTCCCGTGGACGGGGCTGAAGAGCCTGCTCAATGGCCTCTTCATGCCGATTATGGTCCAGGCCCTGATCCTCGCTCACGCGGGCGGGGCCCTTCGCGTATTGGCACGGCCCCTTCCCGTGAGCGTCTCCTGGGATTCGTGTTGGTCTGTGCCTCCTGGGCCCCCGGCCAGACCGTGTGGGTCCTGTTGGCAGTTTCATGAGGCGTTCCTGGTGCCCTGAGTTGGAACGGAAGTGTTCTCCTTTTGCGACGCCCTCTCTCTGCTGTTTTTCTCATTTCTCTCCTTACGCAGGTCAGACACTCTGGGCCACATTTTGCCCACCTTGGGGAAGGACTGGACCCACCAGGGCATCGCGAAGCTGTACCACAAAGTGAGCCAGTAAGTACAGAGCGGGTCCCCCGCCCCCCGACTCCCGCACGTGGAGCACGGGATGCTGACTGTGGGTGACTGGCCGGGGGGCGTGCCTCTGCCTGGGCGTCAGCGGGGGTGGCGGAGGGAACCCCGAGGTCAGAACCCAGAGACAAGCAAGGAGTTGATTCGTGAGCCCAGACAGCCCGCGTTCCTTCACTGCCCAGTGGTCCCTGCGTGCCCGTGGCGTGCGGGCCCTGGGACGGGCGGGGGGACGATGAGGTAGGCACGGTCTCTGCCTCCCGGACCCCGTGCGACTTGGTCGTGGGTGAGTGAGTCCCGGCCATTTCTTTGGGTGTCACATTCGTGGTCGCCCAGAGATGCTTAGAGGAAGGGTTCGCAGCCGGAGACCCAGGAGAAGTGGCCACTGGAGTTAGGGTTGGCTGTTCCTCTTCCCTGGCACTGCTGACCTTGAACGGGGTCCCTCTTAAATGTGGCGCTGCAGGCAGGCGAAGGGAACCCGGCCTGGGAGGTCGCCGCTTGCCCAGAGACGCAGAACGCCCGGGAGTTCTCCTTGTTTATTTTTTGCTGAACGTAATGACTTGTCTGATGTGGTCAGCCCGTGAGGAATGCGCTGTAGCTGATTGCACCTGGCTCACAGAGGGTATTGATTGCAAAAGCTTGCTTGGTTATTGATTAAAAAGAACTGTAGCAGGTACAAAGGGAAGGCACGTGAAACTCTCACACGTTCAATAGAAGAATGTTTCCTAAAATACCTAGGCCGCTGAGCGAGCGGGTGCTTCGGGGGCCACATTTGAACGAGAATTGTCTGAGTTTCTGCCTTATTCGGTGTAAATTTTTTATTCCTGTCACCGGAAGTCAGCATCTGAGAGTTAGCAGGAGTGAGTGTCACCGTGTCCTCAGATGGACGAGCCCGTCGGGGCCTCAGGTGGGAGCCCTCTGCAGCCGGGACACTGAGAAGGGGAACTGACTGTTCCCAGGCTGTCGCTCCTCTCCCCTCAGGCCTCGTGGGTTCCTGCGGTCACCACTCCACCAGTGAGGCAGGGGCCTGTGACCGGGAGCAATCGGGGCCCCTGGGTTCCGGGGTGACAGCGCAGCTCGCTGTGGACACTCGGACCTCATCCCCACTCCCAGCTTGCGATCTCATCTCTGAAACGAGGACACAGGCTGGGCGACCCTGAGGTCACTGCGAGCCCAGACTGACCTGCTGCCGGGCTGTGCGGCTGCGGGCAGTGCATGTGTGGACAGCTGGGCGCGGCTTGCCCAGCCACACGTGGGTCAGAACCCCGAGCATTTACTAGTAGCTGAGGTCGCCAGCCGGCACCAGCCACTGTGCCCGGAGCTGTCCTAGGTGCGGCGCCTCGCCCCTCAGGGAGCCATGACCGTCAGAACGGGCAGCAGGGCCCCGGCACAGGTCACGGGAGGTGTGGTGAGCAATGCAGAGCTCACAGACATCCAGGCGCAGACGGTAACTCTGCTAACTCTGTCCGAGGGATCAGAGCTTCAGTGGGTGCCCTGAGCTGAGCCTGAGGGGAGGGCAGGTTTGAGAGGCCCGCTCGTCTCATCGCAGGTGGCAGTAGCAGTGAGAGGAGGCGGAGACGGGAGCAGGTGGAGGGGTCAGGGAAGGCAGGCTCCGGCGGGGGCGGGGTGTCAGTGAACCGGGAGGGTCGCGGGGCACCAGGTCGCAGAGGCCTGGCGCAGCTTTCGGGGGAGATGTCCCTGTTGCCCACAGGCGTGTCCGGAGCCGGTTCCGCTGAGCTGGCGATGGCCCCGGAACCAGAACACTGTGTGGCCAGATCAAACCGTGAAACGCGTTGAAAGCACGTTCGGATAAATCAGGATCTCGGACCCTGCCGGTGGCAGCTTGTGGGACTCGGATGAGAAGAGCTATGCACAGAAAGTGATTGTTTTTTAAAAGGGTCTGCATTCATCAGGCAGCTAAAATGCGAAGATGTTTCATTGGGAAGATTGCTTGATGTGCCAGACAAGCCGACACTCCTAGATTCCCGTTGTCTCACAGCGTCCTGCGTCTTGTTTTAAAGGACACGTTGTTAAACCATCGGAGACCAGCCCTCCAGCCTGGGGGCCAGGAGGGGTGGGAAGTGGTGGTTTGTCTTTGCTCATCCACAGGTTTGTTTTTTTTAAAAAACATATTTTTAGTGATTTCAGAGAGGAACATCAACGATGAGAGAGAATCATTGATCAGCTGCCTCCTGCATGCCCCCGACTGGGGATCGAGCCCTCAACCAGGGCACATGCCCCTGACCAGAATCAAACCTGGGGTCTTTCTGTCCACAGGCCGTCGCTCTGTCCACTGGGCCAAACCAGCTAGGGCTCCTCCACAAATACATATTGAGCATCTACGACATGCCAGGCGGTGTTCTGGGCCCAGGGTGGCAGCCAGGAACGCGCCACAGTCCCACCCTCAGGGAGCGTCAGTGCCAGTGACATGGGGCCAACAGAGCGAGGCTTAGTGCCCGGTGAGGGAGGGTGTGGTGTGTGTTTTAATAGATAGAGGGACAGGGCAGGGCCTCTGAGCAGAGACCTAGATGAGGGGGGCGGCGCGGGGAGGGAGCAAGAAAGCCCGGCAGATGCGGGGACAGTGTCCCAGCAGCAGGGTCCGCACACGCTGGGTCCAGCGCAGGAGCGAGTGCGGTGGGCGGACGGGAGGAGCGGTGCGCACGCCTGTTGGTGAGCCAGGAGCCGGTGGGATTGCAGAGAAGGCCAGGCCGGGTCTCGGCCTCATAGGTCATGGCAAAAACTCGGGGTTATGTTTGGGAGAGATGGCAAGGTTTTGGAGGGCTTGGAGCGTGATCGGGTTAAATGTTAAGTTTTAAGTGTTCTGTGTGGAGACTTGGCGAAGGGCAGGAGATGGGTGGGGCGGTGGCAGGAGGGCGGGTCAGGGCCCCCACAGGGCTGCCCGCACTTCAGACGCTGCTCTGTCAGAGGCGACCTTGCCGGGCCCGGGCAGGGGAACGGGAGAGCCGCGTGGGCCGGGTGGGCTCAGGCGCACAGCTCTGAGTGAACTGTCTGGAAGGGGAGCAGAGGTGGGCGTCCTCCCGGAGGCGGACCGGAGAAGGGGCCTTGGTGGTGGTCGTTGGGGTAATGAAAGAGGCAAATAGATTTTCGTTCATTTAGTTACTCAGGGGGTCGAGTGTTTTTGTGATTTGGTTGTCAGAGGCTCTGGATTGTTGTAATAATGGTGTGTCCCGAGGCTCACAGGAAGTGGACGCGCTCAGCACATGACGGCGGAGTGGCCCGTGGTCAGGCGGTGGACCGTGGCCGCCCACACCTGCAGAGCTTGCCTGCTCCATGGCATGTGGAGTGGGGGGACGGGGTGGACAGGGGTGGAGGGCGGGCGGACGGACGGACGGGGCAGAGGGCGGGCTGGCGGACGGGGCGGAGGGTGGGCGTGTGGAT